CACGTTCAATTCGTTGTCATCCTGGTCGGATCCGACGAGATTCCGTTCGCCCTTCACCTGGATTTCATATGTGCTAGGTCAAAGTACTTCGAACAAAAGCTCGTTTCAACGCAGGACGAAAAGCCGTTCGAGCCCATCGTACGACTGCCCAACACGACGCCAGAAGTCTTCGGCTTCGCCCAAAATTTTCTCTACACCGGTCATGTCATCTCGGTGTCAGGTGAGACGCCCTCGTACGAGGTACTCATCGGCGTCTGGAAGCTTGGCCACATGCTGGATATCGATGGCCTCTGCGACAAGGCATTGGCCGCCATGTTGGATTGTAGGCGCATCACGAAGCACATTCCCGCGACGCCACTGCTCATCCAGGTCTGGGAGGATACCCCAGAAGGCTCGTCGATCCGCAAGCTGCTGCTCTCGTGGGCGGCCGAGTACATGAGGGCATCCGAAACACGGGCCGAGTTTGCCAAGTCCCTGCCGCAAGAGGTCCTCAGCGAGCTTGTCATCATCATGAGCTCGCTCGAGTCTGCACCTCCCCCAGCTCCGGAACCCTCGCCGGATACAGCGCAGCCGGCGTCGGCACCGGGCACCGCACCCCGGAAGAGTGTACATTACCTCGAGGACGACAGTGACGATGAGCGTGCACGCGGGGCGAAGAAGTCTCGTCGCGTGTCCGCCGTTGCACCAGCCGTGGCCAACACGCCTCCCGCTTCGATGGAACGTAAGCCCCCCACGGTTCGCAAGCCTGTCAAGGCCGCTCTGCCAAAGCGACGGTCCAGCGCCGCTGTGGCGATAGCAGACGGCGATATCAGTACGGAGAGAAAGGTCGAGTTTTGTGCAGATCTTCTGGAAAGGATGCTTTCTGGGCCAGGTACATACTCTCGAATTCGCGCGGCTAGGAGAAGCTCGTCACTAACCATATGCCAGGCTTTTGGACCCGGCTTGTTGGCCCTTTCAAGGATCCTGTTGATCCTGAGAAGGACCACGTGCCAGACTACTTTGAGAAGGTCAAGAAACCGATGGATCTCGCAACGGTCAAGCTCAAGATGGACCGACGAGAATACACCAACGAGAATGAGTTTGCAGCGGACGTGCGGCTAATCTTTGAGAACTGCTACACATACTGGAACAGAACCGACCCCATGTGGGCAGCTTGCGAGAAGTTCCAGAAGACGTTTGAGGATAAGTATAGCCAGATGACCAAGACTATCACCAAGCTCATGCGGGAGCCTGCCGACTGAAGAATGAACTGTTGGCACGCTGATTGCGTATCGTCGCGGGTGCGAGGGCTTGTCTTGTTCGGTGCCTGAAAGGCGAAGGATTCCGATTGTCTTTTCACTTTCTTCCTTTTTCTTTTCTCAACTTTGGCTTCAAAGTGTACCATCAACTAACTGACTGTATTCCTCCCAAGTATACCCAGATCGATACGACGTCGAATGTACTTGTAGAGCCTGGTTGCGGTTTAGCAGATTGCGAAATTAATGTGTTGCTGATTCCCGAACGGAACCACACGGTTCTTTCCACCCGGACTGACTAACGGAACCGTGAAGCGAGTGGCCTCAGGGCCAGAGGTCCTGAGGTCCTGAGGTCCTGAGGCAGTTCTGCGCTCGGGATGCATGGTGACAACGGCCCGTTTCAAGCTCCTTGCGCAATCAAGCTAGGGTGTTTCTCCAGGGCGTTCAGGGCGACCGTGGTGTCTCAGCGATTGCTCTCAACATCCAGTCGCAGTTGTCACGACCAAGGGTCACAGCATATTCGTCGGAGGGAGGCAGCGGAGGGCTCCCCACTTGTGTTACATTTGTTCGGCACACGGCCGGCGGTTGATTGCCGTACAGTACGGGACAAACGGACGCAGGGCTCGGGGATGATGATACTGAGACCAGATGCCTGCCGTCCTACAAGTACCAACTCGGTGGAGCAGCCTCCAATTATTGTCATCAGTCTCAGCGATTGTTGACTCGTGGGAAGAATGACGAGGTGAACCAGTTGATGGCCGTATGGGCTTGCAAGAATTTTCTTCTTCCCTTCGTGGAGGCATAAAAACGCGATCGCGAGATCAAAAGGCTCGTGGCTTCATTCGCGCCGTGGGGATCGTGGGGCCAGTAGTCGAGGGAGCGTGATGGTACTCATGCCCTCGAGACCTGAAACGCGGCAGCGCGACGGTGCTGGTCCTTGTTCTTTGATTCCCCATTGGTCAAAAGCAGAAGGAGGAACGACTGGCCTTGTACGCTGCAGACGCTGCAAGGTACCCGCTGGTCCGTGCTTCATGCGGCAGATAACAGCAGCCAGTCAGAGCGCATGACCCTAGTCGTGCTTGCAGGACTTCATCTCCTAAGATTGGTCCTGACGAGACTGCTCATTTCCCCTTATCCCGGACATGATGGGGACGTGGCGACTAAGAGGTCTGGATTCGTTTCTTTTCGGTTCGGCCCCCCGGCCCTCCCCCTCGAACTGGTTGTCAAGTCAATGAAGTCAGTGGCCAGTGGACGATGACGATACTTGTGCTGGCCAGCGCTTGGGAGGGGCGGATCTGCAGGTTGCGTTGGATGTGATGGAGTGAGTGACGCTGCTGCTGATGTTCTATTTGGGTAACAACCATGGCACAGCTTGACATGGTGATGGATGAAGGGAAGGAGAGGCAAGTCCGACTGCCAACTCAGCAACCACGTTGTCGCACAGCACTTGCCCAACGCACTGGCAAGGTGAGGCGTCTGACCCAGAAGGAGGAGGCCAGGTGGTCCCCTTCCCCTGGCCAGTGTTTCGGTACAATCCACGGTTGTCGTGACCCTCACCTCACTGCGCTTGTTGGTCGCTACTACCTCTCGCTGATGAGTCCTGCCCAAGGGAGAAGGCCAGGCCGGCCGAGCTCGCCTGCGATTGTCTCGCCCATCAGACTATCAGACGGGACAGCGCGGCAACACAGCAATCTGGAAGTTGCTGCCGCGATTCTGACCACTCTCAGGGCGAGCGACAAGGAAAGGACAGGCAAAGACAAGGAAGGTGCCAAGTCTCGCCAGAACCCATGTCAAATTACAGAGGCGATCCTTTCCAGCACATGGGCAGCACGGGCAACATGGGCAGCGTGGGCAGCGTGGGTATGCGCGAAGCGCACTGCCCCTTCCCTGAGCCCGTGCTCGCCCATTTTCCCTCTTCACTGCCCAAAACCCCAGCACTGGGCCCGTACCCCCTCGTCTGTTCTCCGTTTCCACCTCCTGTCACCCCCATCGTCGTCAAACCTCAGGTCCCCAGGCTTTTTCAGCCCAGTCATTCTTTTTTCCCGCGACAGCAAACAGAGCTCCTTTTTGGCTCATTCCTCTCATTAAACAACGCCAGAAACGACACGCTCTTTGAGAATCTCTACGCCGTCAGTCTTTCGTTTTCGCCCTCACCTACGACCTCATCGAGATACACCGCCCAAAATCACGCTCATCACCCTACACCATCACAATGCAGTACTCTCTCGCATCTCTGACCGTCCTGGTCCTCGCCACCTCCGCTGCCGCCCAGGAGTTCATCGCCTTCACCCGCGCCAGCCAGTCCACTCGCGACTTTGGTCTCCTGCGCCGCCAATCTGATGGGTACCAGCCCGAGGACGAGGTCTGCGCCGGCGAAGGCAGCACTTGCGCCGAGGCCTGCGGCACCGGCTACCTTCAGTGCAGCTCCTCCGACTCTTCCGTCCACTGCTACAACCCGGCGGCCAACGAGTCTTGCTGCTCCACCGGCACTGGCAGTAAGTTCTTGTCGACGTGCTTCGTCGCGCGTGCTGTTCACTAACACCGTCTCAAGGCTCTTGCTTGGGCAATTTCTACTGCACCCACGACGCCCAGGTCGAGACCTGGTGCTGCCCCAACGGTCTCAACCTCAAGGAGTGCGCCATCAAATTTGGTGTCACCGGCGCCCTGACTTCCGACCTGCCCAAGGCCACCTCTACCTCCTCCGCCTACAAGCTTCCCTCCACTACCACCACGAGCACCTCTTCCGTCATCGTCGAGACCACGTCCGCCCCTGTCATCGAGTCGAGCACCGTCGCTTCCATCAACAGCACGACCCATGTGCCTGTCACCTCGAGTGCGGTGCCCACTAGCCGCAGCACCTTGATCGCGGCTGCCAACACCACCTCTACTCGCGCCTCGTCCACCTTCCACTCTGCCGCGCCCACCGTCCTCGAGACGACCGCTGCGGCTGCCCCCTCGCCCAGCCAAGTCAACCAGGACTCTGCCGCGTTGGCCAACGGCCCCGCCAGCCTGGCCCTTGTTGCCAGCATGGCCTTCCTCTTCGCCCTTTTCTGATCATTGTCCGCTCAAATCACTTCGGAACGTTGGGTGACCAACGTGTCACGACTGATGAGTCTGACGATAAGGAAAGGCGCTGGCGTGATGGGCACACAACACATCAAAAATTCCGTGCATTGTTGCGATGTTGTTTGTTCGGCCTTTTGTTTGAACCACCTATGATTTCCTCCAACATGTGGAGCGACAACTTTTACGACATCCTGTTTCTGCGATAGCACTGGTACTACAGCTTGTACGGCAGGGCATAGGAGGAGGGGATTTGGAGAAGAGGTGGTTGGATTGGAGCTTTTTTGTTTTCCGTGCGCATATACCTTGGGACGCGATGTTGTACCTACGATTACGATTCCCCCCCGGTGAGGCTGTTTCTCGCCCGTACCTATTACCCCTTAATATTTCTCGCCCTGGTAAAGAATAACATCACGGCATTGCACACATTCAAGTGTCGTTCCCTTATGCTTCTAGTCGTGTCTTGGTGGACCCTACAATTCGGATCAGCAGAACTGTCAGGCGAGGCTCCACATTCCAGAAGGCGTGCGTGTTGGCATGCACCCCTCTGAGGCATGAACTCTACACGCCAGTTTTTATTCCACATTCATTCCGGCCACTTGGGGCTGCCTGTTTACAAATGATCAGCCACGACAGCTCTAGCCGGCGCTTCAACACGCGGAAGGCGTCAGACTGTGTGTACGTCACAGAACCCAACGAGGCATGCGCTTTGTCCAACTGGAGTCCCTCCGCGACATTCCCACACCTGACGTGACCTTGGGATTGACGTTAGTTTTGCTCCACGTTACATTCTCATTTCAACCCCGTCTGCTGCTCCTGTTAGGCGGAGGCTTCACTCTCCCGTGGGTCGTGTTCGGTTCCTTATCGCTCTCGCAACGCTTCCATCGCGTACGACACTTGTCTTGATCGTGCCTCATCTCCCATCGAGTGGCTTTTGAAAATGGCTCTGGAAATGAAGGCCATATTGGGGATCGAGACTCCGAGGAACGCACGGCTTCTTCGCCTGTGGGTGAAATGATGCCTAGTCGTGACCGGCCTGCTCAGCAGACAGTGAGCGGATGGATCTAGGCCGGTCTTTAAACAACATGACGAGAAGCTTGCTAGACCTCGAAGCTGTGTTTCCGGCAGCTAGAGAGCACAGGTGTCGGCAAGCAGTCTCGTTGGTGAGCCTGGGGCTGCGGCGATCTGGCTCACTGCCTTGCCTTCAACCTTCTTTTTAGGGTTCAGCGCCATGGGGTGAGCCGGTTCTCACGGTATTCGCAGTAGGTAGCGCAGTCATTTTGCCGCGTTATCACCGCCGAGGCGTGGCTACTATCAGGTGTTTGGATGTTGGCATTATCCGTTGTTGGGATGGCGAAGATGAGAGGTCTCCAATGCGAGACATGACACTAAAGTGATAGATATATTCGCATCACTCATGAGAGCATGTTCAAGTAATTAATATGAGTGCTACCCAATTTGTGAAGTCGATAGAACGACTGCCGAGATGTCCACCACGACTTGCTACAAAGTCCTAGAGCAGGTGCAAATGGCGTGGATGAAGTCTGCGCGCTGAAAAGTTTTGTCGCCGCGGGTCCCGCGTTAGTTATTTGAATGAAGCTTTGAGATAGAGGCCTAAGCTTGACAGGCGAACGGCGTTTGGCTTGGCCTATACGCCACCCAAAATCGGCTTCGGCGTAGGGTCATCTACGGTTGAAAAGGTTTTCAGTAACAAGGTGGAAGACGGCGAATGACATTATACGCCAGTGGCAATGGTGCGCTTTTGCATTACATAAATGCCTTCGCGATGATGAATTGGTGGTCAGAGAAGTGGCTGACGCCTGGCGTTGACGGCCCCTCGATGCCTGGTTGCAAACTGTCGAAGTCTAATGACAAAAAGAAAAAGCTAGAGATATCGAGGACTGGACGATTTATAAAAGATACAGGCTCAGCGTCTTTTCATCGACTGTCTCTTTAGCCCTGGGAGCGAACACTGGACATCGCAGGATTGAGTGGTTCACTTACACGTGGCTGCCAAGAACCCGCCGGGAAAAAGGCATCTACCCAATCATATGCCTGCGTGAGAGCAACGACATCCAGAATGAACGACTCTGAGGATGCAGTTCACTATCGTGAAGTCGACCTCAGCCGTATAGAAGCACCGTCGACGCATAAGACATACATCATCTGCGCCTTTGCTGCCTTTGGCGGCATTTGTTTCGGGTACCAAACGGCTGTCATGTCCGGGCTCCTCGGCACCTCCTACTTCATCGAGCTGTACACCAATGTCGATTTCGATTATACGACCTACGCGCCCGTTGACAAGAAGACGACCGAGTTCGGCCTTACCGCCAGCCACAAGGCGCTCATGACCAGCATTCTGGCCTGTGGTGTCTTGGTTGGAGCTCTCGTGGCTGGCGACATGGCAGATACGTTCGGACGGCGAAAGAATGTCGTCCTCGGGAGCCTGATTCTCTGCGTTGGAAATGCTCTGCAGATGTGTGCCGAACACCATGTTGTACTGTTCGTGCTGGGGAGGCTGATCGCCGGCCTTGGCCTTGGCTTCATCTCGGCCGTCATTGTCATGTACATCTCGGAGATTGCCCCTAAGCGGTGTCGAGGGGCATTTATAGCGGCGTATCAGTTTTGTATCAGCTTGGGGGTTCTGCTGGCCAACTCGGCTGTGTACTCGGCCGAAGGTCGAGACGACAGTGGCGCCTATAGGATCCCGATAGGCGTCCAGTTCTTGTGGGCTATGATCCTAGGGATTGGCCTCGCCGTGTTGCGTAAAGTCCCTCCCCTTCCCTTTTTGTTTTTTGCACGCAAGGAAAACCATTAACGTTGGCAGCCGAATCGCCTCGATACTTGATTAAGAAAGGTCAGATTTCGGAAGCCAAGAGGGCCTTGGCTCGCGTCCGGGGACAACCCATCGACTCTGAATGTGTAAAGGATGAGATCGCCGAGCTAGTAGCCAGCCGCGAGTACGAGCTGTACCTTATCCCTCGCACCAGCTACATTGGCTCCTGGCTCCTGTGCTTCAAGGGTCCGATACGAAACGGTAGCAGTCCTGCTCGGCGCACAATACTCGGTATGTCCATCCAAATGATGCAGCAGCTGACGGGGATCAACTTTATATTCTACTTTGGCGTGACGTTCTTTCAGCAACTGGGCGCTGTCGACAATCCCTTTCTCATCGCGCTCATCTTCACGCTGGTCAACGTCTGTTCCACGCCCATCTCCTTTTTCACCATAGACAGGTTCGGTCGGCGTCCTCTGCTCATCTACGGCGCCATCGGGATGATCATCATCCAATTCACGATTGCGTGCATCGGCACCACGGAGGGCCGGCGCGATCAAAACAACCTCTTCGCCGTCAGGGCCATGATCGCCCTCATCTGCATGAACATATTCTGCTTCGCCATTACGTGGGGGCCAACCGCCTGGGTGGTAGTCGGCGAGTCGTTCTCCCTGCCCATGCGCTCGCGCGGCATCGGAATCTCGACGGCGTCAAACTGGTTCTGGAACTGCGTCATCGCCACGTGCACACCCTTTCTCGTCGGCGGGAACAAGGGCGAGGCGAACCTGGGGCCCAAGATCTTCTTCATTCTCGGCTCGACCTGCTGCCTCTCTCTTGCCTTTGCGTACTTTTTGGTGCCCGAGATGAAGGACTTGTCGCTGGAGCAGATCGAGATGATGATGGATGAGTCATCGCCAAGGTGCTCGCCAGCGTACAGAGTGCTCAAGGGGTTTACCCAGATGCGTGGCGACAGGGTGTTGCGCCAGATGCGGTCTGTTTCTGCTGATTGCGAGAGCAGCAAGTTGACGCCGCGATCTCATGTAGTCGAACAAAGTGGTCGCTAATGGCTTGTCTGTAAGGTTCCAACTTTTCTTTGGTGCGCGGCCGATGGGGGTCTGATGAGTCCTTGTATCATAAATATTCCCGTACGCATTTCAAGGCTGAGTGGTCGCCCCCTATCTTTGGTCTTTTGACATCAAGGACGAATGCGCCTTGATCATACACTCAACATTTCGCCAAATGAGACCTCAAAGTAAAGTACTGGAAATAGACAGCCTGTTTCAGCAAATTAAGTCTTGCGAGTAAGCCAAAGATGTTGTCTCGTCGATTCACGCAGCCAAGCAACACTTGTGAGTCGATTGAGCATCAAAGTGAAGGGTGCCCAGAGCGGCGCCTCTACGCTTTCAAGAAAAGGAATAAAGACGTGGCCAGTGCGACAGCCGATCAAAGCTCTGACCACGCATACGACATGACTTTCGAGCGTGTGCTGTAAGTATGTTGTAACCTTCATTGTGCCATTTCTTTCATGTAAACCTCCCATGAAAGTCTGCCATGATCGCAGCTCTCCTAGCATCTGTCGACATGATGCACGCCAAAGGAACGATTGAACATCCAATTGGGGCGCTGGCGCAACGGTAGCGCGTCAGATTCCAGTTCTTTCTGGAGATTCCTGAAGGTTATCCGTTCGAATCGGGTGTGCCTCAATCTGAGATCTTTTTTGCTCTTTGCCCTTTTGGGCAGGCCACCAAGCACTTGGAAGAATGAAGTGTCCTGTTAAAAGGCTCTACAGTAAGTGAGAGAGAGGCTTACTACATGGCAGCGGGGCATGGGTGGGCGTCGATCTACTTGTAAATTGAGAGCTCTCTTATTTAGTGGGACATTTCTTTGTCGATCTCTTGGCCACCTTTGTCTGCCTTTACGACGTGTGCAGTCAGTTGTTTGGATCCTGGATTTTTGACCCGCTTCATTCACCCCCGCTTCGACGGACATGAGGGACCGAGTTTTGCCTTTTTCACCATCAATGGGGCGCTGGCGCAACGGTAGCGCGTCAGATTCCAGTTCTTCTGGAGATTCCTGAAGGTTATCCGTTCGAATCGGGTGTGCCTCATTGCTTTTGCCGTTCCATGCAGCATACTTTGTATCCTTTTGCTCCCTCACGATGGTTGGAATTCGCTCATCATCCTGGCAGTGCGCCGTGGGCGTGCAGAGTTGGGGGGCTGGCGCAACGGTAGCGCGGTAAGTGAAGGCCCTCACGTGGTGGTGCATGGCACGTTCTAATCACCCCAATAGTCAGATTCCAGTCATGGAGTGTCCTGAAGGTTATCCGTTCAAATCGGGTGTCCCTCATCTATCTTTTTGGTGATCTTGACTGCGGCCGTGAGACTGGCGAGGGTTGCACCTAGCCAGGGCGGGCCGCGCAGTAGTCTTTCTACGTTTGGGTGCTAACAAATCCCGGTCCAAAGCTTCCTCTACCATCAAGCTAGGGAGTCAATATAGGGTACCCAGAGCATTGTGTAGAAAACAGCTTGAGGGTGAGGTTGTGTTCTTTTCATGTTCCCCTCAGCCTGGAGTCGTTGAACGGAGCATCTGAGACCGATCATGCGTCGTGCCCCTCATGCTGCAGATGACATGTGGGGTTCGGCAGCCGTGGGCATATGAAGGCGTCTTCGACCCCTAATTCCGGCGTGAGTCACTGGCGAGACGGCCGCGACTCACTGGACGGGGCGTTGATCTGCTCGCCTACGTGCGTGCCTAGGGACTTGATTCCTTACCTGAGGTGGTTGCGGGTACCTAAGGTATCTACTAGGAAAGGTACCCTAGGTACCTAGGTAGATGGGCTGGGCAAGTTGGCCAGCAGGTCTCCTGGGTGATCTCCCTCCCCGAAAGGGTCCCTTGGCGTGGTACATCTGTCTCCTCTAGCTCCCATCTGAGGAGGTACAGCCCGACGTCACTTGCCACTTGCGGACGGCACACCAACACCTGCTCCCAAGCATTGAGAATCAAAACTTGACTCGGCGAGATGAAAATGCCAACGGGCCATCCATCAATTGACATGCAGCCGGGAGATGATAAAAGCCCCCATGGCCAGCATCCCCTCATTGTGCCGCTTTATTGACCTCCAGATCGGCCGGCACCGATAAAAAGACGACGCTCGTTCGACAGCAAGCAACCCTTGCAGTTACCGACAACCCTGAACCCCCAGTAGAGCATTCATCAGCAGCACCATGTTGACTTCAATTGCATCCGAATCCGTGGCCACCATCTTGTGCACCAGCAAGCAGACGCGCTTCGACATCAAGACGGTTGACTACCGCGAAGTAGGCTGGCCCGTCCTGCAAGGCTCGAAAACATACTGACACGCCCAGCTCGACATCGAAGGACTCTGCATCACCGTCGTCGCCGGCCCAGCTTCGGAAGCCGCATCGGGCGAGCCGAAGAAAAAGGTAGCCGCCTCCAAGGCAAAGGCGAAAGCGCGCGCCGAAGGCCTCGAGCTCCTGTCTGATGCCAAGCTCAGGCTGAAGGCTGGCCAGCGGTATGCCCTCGTGGGCAGGAACGGTTCCGGAAAGTCAAGTGAGTCTCTCGTCTCTCCTACTTACGAGAAGACGCATCTCTTCTACTCACGAGACCTGCCTGCTGACGATGCGCCAGCCCTCCTCAAAGCCATTGCCGAGAAGCTCATCCCCGGCATCCCCGAAGAGGCGCGCATCTCCATCTTGCAACAGACGGATGCCCGTGGCACCAACACCGACGCACCCCCGCCGGGGGCTGCTTCGAGTGCTGAAACGCCATCTCGTGAGCAGGGCTCGGTGCTCGAGGACGTCATTGAGAAGGCCACGGCGCGCTCCGATGTCGAGCAGGACATCCGGGCGCTGTCAGCCGGCATCAATGCCACGGACCCCATGGGCTCCGTGCGGGCTCTTCGCACCATCCGCCACGCGAGGAATCAAAAGCACCTCTTCCAGCTCGACAAGGATGCGCGGCTGCGAAGTGGCGCCCGCGGCATGGCGGCGCGTAAGGCCTTGACGGCCTTTGAGAAGACAACGGCCGAGTCGAAAGCCATGTGAGAATCTTTACTGTATGAGCCTGGCAGCAGAACCCTGCGAAATTGACATATTTCAAGGATCGAACAAGCAGGGGAAGACATCTCGCCTGAAACATTGAGGGACGAGACGCAAGAGGCTCTCGACATGATGGCAGACCTGCAGCTGCAGGTTGAGCCCACAAGGATGGCCGAGATCGAGTCTAACGCCAAAAAGATCTTGACCGGTCTGGGCTTCACCGACGCGTACATGGCGAAGCCAGTTACGAGCCTGTCGGGCGGGTGGCGCATGCGAGCAGCCCTTGCTACGGCTTTACTGCAAGAGACGGATATTTTGATTCTCGACGAGCCGACCAACTACTTGGACTTGCTGGGAATCATTTGGCTACAAAAATATCTCGAGTCTCTCGACGACGATGACGCGGCACCGACTCTGATTCTCGTCTCCCACGACCGAGACTTTATCAGCGTCTGCACCGACTTGCTCATTGTCAAGGACAAGCAGCTGACCTATTTCCACGGAGATTTGCCCACCTATGAATCGTCCCTGTCCGAGAAAAAGCTCTACCTGACCAAGATGCAGGAGGCACAGAACAAGCAGAAGGCCCATATCCAGCAGAGCATCCAGAACAACATGAAAGCCGGCAAAGCGAACGACGACCAGAACAAGCTGCGCCAGGCCAAGTCGCGGCAGAAGAAACTCGACAACCGCATGGGCCTGACGGTCAGCGCTAAGGGCGGTCGCTTCAAGCTGAACCGCGACCTGGCCGGATACCACCTCACGGCGCGCGCGGAAATCGATGTGCCCCAGGATGAGCGGTCTGTGAGCTTCATCATGCCGCAGCCGCCGGATCTGCGCTTCCCGGGCGCACTGCTGTCGGTGGAGAATGCCACGTTCCGCTACCCAACAAAGGTGAGGACCAAGACGCCCACGCCGCCCGTGCTGCAGGACGTCAGCCTGACGGTGCACATGGGGGATCGCGTTGGCATCCTAGGCCTCAACGGCGCCGGCAAGTCGACTCTGATCAGGCTTCTCGTCGACGAGACAAAGCCGACCTCGGGCACGGTGACGAGGCATCCACGGCTGAAGCTGGGATACTACTCCCAGCACGCGGTCGAGGCGCTGCAGGCGATGGGCCGCGCCGACGAGTCGTTGACGGCTCTGTCGCTGCTGACCAGCGAGGTGGAGGGCGAGCTCGACGAAGGCGAACTGCGCGGCCTGCTCGGATCGCTCGGGCTGCCAGGTCGCACGGCGTCAGACGTGCCCCTGACCAAGCTCTCGGGCGGGCAGCTCGTGCGGTGCGAGCTCGCCAGGCTCCTCTGGAAATGCCCGCAGTGCCTCATCCTCGACGAGGTGACGACGCACCTGGACTACGAGACGGTCACGGCCATGCGCGAGGCGCTCAGTGACTGGGAGGGGGCGGTGGTGCTCGTGAGCCACGACCGGTGGTTCATGCGCGGGGCGGTGGAGGGCCAGATAGAGGACAGCGACGACGAGGCGGAGGATGACTCGGAGGACGAGGCGGCGCCGCGGCGACGCATGGTGTACAAGCTACGGGCCGGCAAGCTGAGCAAGCTGGAGAGGGGGACGACGGAGTTTGAGGAGAGCGTCGAGAAGAGGGTGGCCAAGCTTCTGAGGGGCTAGCCCTGGTCGAGGATCGACTTGATGTTCGCATCTCAGTGATTGATAAGAATGTGTGATCCAGCACAACCTACCTTGGGTCTACGTACTATGCGTCGCCTGACATGCGTCGCTTGACAGTCATCATTCGTGCCGTGACGGGTGGAGAACCGAGCTGCGTGCCATCAAGGAGAACCCGCGATCAAGGGATCGACGACAACATCAAACAGTGCCCCCTCGACGGTCCGGACCTCAAAACTGCCACCCACGGGCACCTCGACAATAGTGCCATCGACACAGACCTTGCGCCACCGCGCGTCCTCCTCCCGGACTGTGACCGTGAGGGCCTCAACCTCCTCGTACGCAACGTCGTCCATGGCGACGTGCCGGCCGCCGTCATACGCCGCCTTCATGATGTCCATGGTGCGCTCGCCGCCGAGGGCGCCGAACCGCACGACTCGCAGGCGGCGGCCGAGTGGCGCGCTGTCGGGCGAAATGGTAAAGGTGCGCTCGAGGCTCGACACGAGGGTCGCGAGCACGTAGCCCCAGCCGCCACCGCCACCGGCGGCCGGGGCGGGGGCCGGGGCGGGAGCGCCGTCGACGTCGGCCAGGTAGGCGTGCGACTCGGCGAGCAGGGCGGCGGCGACCATGCCGAAACGGGCGGCGCCGTGGGCGCGGTAGGCGGGCGTGTCGGATTCCCAGACGAGCTGGGCGTGGAGGCCGTAGCTGGCGACAATGGCGCCGTGGAGGGTGGCGATTGGGGGCGCGACAGAGGTCGAGGGGTCGCTGCTCACGAGAGTCGCGCCCTGGGGAAACGAGGCCAGGAAGGAGGGCAGCGGGGCGGGCGTGCCGCGGGCCAGGGTGCGCAGGGCGAGGACGAGGGGCGAGGGGCTTTGCGGCAGGGCGTAGAGGGGTTTGTGGAGGGAGTGGAAGAGGGCGTTGGCTGTGCCGAGGGGGACGAGGACGAGGGAGGGTCGCGGACCGGGGGGTGGCGAGGGCGAGGTTGTGCCGTTGAGGAGGTCGACGATGCCGCCGTCGCCGCTGAGGAGGATGATGGTCTCATTTTGCGGTGACGATGCTGCTGTTGCTGCTGCTGTGATGGTGGTGGTGGTGGTAGTGGTGGTGGTAGTGGTGGCGAGAGGTGCTGCAGGGCGGGCGGCCCAGCGGGTTTCGGCAAAGTCCTTGACGCAGTGCGCCGTCTTGGTGACAAGCAGGTGGTAGCTGTCATGGACCTTGTCGGCGTCGTTGTCGACGTCGTGGACCTGGTCGAGCAGGAAACGGAGGAGGGGCTGGAGTGCTAGGGTCCAGAACGTGGATGCCATGCCGAGGCCGGAACCTGTGGAGACGACGACGTGGATGGTCCTGTCTCGGTGAAGGTGGCGTGGCCACGACGAGAGCAGATGTTGGTCGAGCAGCTCTCGGGGCAGGGTGTCGGCGACGAAGCTGCCGATGCGGTACGGGGTGTCTGCGCTGGATGCATCCTCGTGAAGGTGGACGAGGATGTAGCGCGGCGCCGCAGCGTCGACGGGGATGCGGAGTGGGAAGATGGCGATGATTTCCTCGACGGGGATGCGCTGCCGCGTGTCGTTGGCGTCGAACACGACATGTCCGTCTTCGACGACGACATCGAGTGCGATGCGTGTCTCGCCGTGGACCTGAGGCATAGAGGGTGATGACATGATGTCGAATGAAGAAAGGGATGCCGAAGACGAGTGAGAGATGGCGGGCGGAAGGAGGGAGAGTCGATACTCGATGAGGCTATCGCCAGGTTTTGTAGGAGGACGTTGCCGGTGATTCCGTCGTGCTGACTGTCGATCGCGGCGGGCGTCAGTCGGCTCGCCCAGGGCTTGATGGTCGACTGCTGCCTGGGTCTTGTGTTCTCACGTAAGGAGGGTTGTGCGACGGGACATTTTGATGAAGCATTGTGGTCCGCAATTGCGTTATTTCCCCTTAACCTTTGCGATGCGTTCCGTTCTTTTGTTGTTGGGTGGATGGACCCGTGCCTGTCCATGGTGCCTGCTGCCTGTTCATGGCACCTGCTGCCCTTAAAATGGTGCCTGCTCCCTGTCTATGGTGCCTGCTTCCCGTAAAACGGTGCCTGCTCCCTGTAAAATGGTGCCTGCTCCCCGTACCATGCCCTGAAGGAAGGCACCTACGCACCCTTGATGGCTCCTTCCACCGTCTGCCAGGGAACGCAGAACAACCGCACCGCACACACACACACACACACACATCGCCGCCTAGACTCCATAAAATACGAGGTGTACTGGACATCATGGACCCCAAGCCTCGCACAATGCTAACGGTCGGCATCTCCTGCATCTGCATTCACCAACGAGGCCAAGGGTGTGCCCTGGGCTGCCTTGGAGGGCCTGGTGGTATGGCTTGGCTCGAATGTTTGGGTTCTCTATGAATGGTATCCAGAAACAGAACCTGCCCTTGGGATACAACCCGATACCGAGGTCACAGACTGCATTCATCCAGGTTCTATACTGATGAGGCTGGCGATGCAGGCTGGATGGAAATGACCGGACTGCTGCGAGGGAATGGAACAGCGGGACCCAGACTGTGACTTCAGACGTACTCACAGACGTGACCTCAGACGTGCTCACAGACGTGCTCAGCATCACTGCCACCCTTGGCCACCTTGTCTTCACGTCGGGCATCGAGCCTCACGGATAGGGTAGACATGCGATCTTTATTTCTCGACTTTGACTTTGCCTTTGCTCGCTGCACTGGCTCAACACCTGCCGCTTCCATCGAGCCTGGACGCCGTCTCATTTTCCCTTGGCCCTCGTCATGGGCCCCCAGTTCTCGCGCGGGTTCAGCTGGTAGCGCACGAGTTTCCTGTTGTCCCTGGCCCTGCCCAGCCTGATGAGCGCATCGTCAAACACGAGCGTCTTGCGGAGGTCGGCCTCCGTCGGCGTCGCCTCGCTGGCCTCGCCCGCCGCCGCCTCGCTGGCATCGCCCATGTGCGTGTCCTGCGCCGCCGCCTCGTCGGGCGGCCTCGCCGTGCTCTCCACCTCCCTCACAACCGTGTCCTCGCCTGCGTCTTCGACAGACATCACAGCGTCCGCGGCAGCCACCGCAGCTTCCTCTGCAGCCACCGCAGCCTCCTTGTCGAGCCCCAAGAGCCGGTACGCCGGCATCGTCGGTCGGATCTTCTCCGTCTTGACCGGCGCCTTCTGCCGCACCCACGCACGCATGATGAACCAGATCGTGTCCCACGGCGCGTCCGTCTTGATGCTGCCGGGCCTGCAGTGGCTGCGCGTGACGCGGTAGCCGAGGTGCTTCAGCGCGCCGCGGAACATGTTGTCCGGCACCTGCTGCGCGTTGATGACGCCGGCCAGCTTGGACGGCATGATGAAGAACGGGCTGTGGTCGACGCGCGCGAGCGCCGCCTCCTTGGCGTCCACGTCCCCCGCCGGCTCGGGCCCCGGCAGGTACTCCTCGAGCGCCGTCGTCAGCATGCCCTCGATGCGCGGCAGCGTGCCGTAGACGGCCGGATCCGCCGTCGGCAGCAGGTCGAGCACGCGCCGCACGAAGCCCTGGTCGTGGATGGCGCCGCCGTACATGGGACCTGCGATGTGCTGCGCCGAGCCGCAGTGCCGGCACGCGCCGTCCGTCGGCGGGCCCTTGGCGAGGCTGTGCTTGAAAAAGTGGCCGCCCTTCTTCTTGGGCTCGGGCCGCGTCCGCACCAGGAACTGCGTCTCCCACGCCGTGCACCCCGAGCACTGGTACGCCACCATGGTCTTGCCGCCGAGGTAGCTGATGGCGTTGGCGCTCTTCGTCACGCGGACCCAGAGCCGGCAGTAAAAGTCGATCGACAGCGACAGCAGCGGCTCGACGTGCAGCCCGTGGCGCGCCGCCGTCGACGCCAGCGTGTGCAGGATCAGGCGCAGGCCCGCCTCGTGCGAGTGCATGCCCTTGACGGGGACGGCGCCGTACAGCGCGAAGCTCCTCTCGGCGTAGCAGTGGCCCGCCCAGTGGCTGCCGTCGGTACACGTGACGCAGAGCAGGCCGCCGTCGTCACGCACGGCCTGGAGTGCCGCGTCGATAAAGGGAGCCGCAGTGCCGTAGGGGTCCAGGTCGATGACGTCGTACTTGTTCTTGGTGCTGGGCCTTCCGCGGCTGTCCCTGTTGGAGAGGTCGTCGGCGATGCGCCGGTACATGTGGGCGATGGCATCGTCGTGGTTGACAGCAATCTTGTCCTCGAGGCCGTTGTGCTTGACGTTGAGCTTGATCGACTCGGCGGCCGATTTCGTCAGGTCGTTCGCCGTGACCGATGTGACAAAGGGCAGCTCGTGCGAGTAGCGGAGGGCGCGCAGGCCCGAGGCAGACAGCGCATCGAGAACGGTAAAGCGAGGCTGGGGCTCGGGCTTTTTTGGCTCCTCGGCTCTCCCATTGCCCTCAGTCTCGGCGGCCGTCGCAGGCGCAGCGGGTGCGTCGCTGGTTTTTGTGATCGTCACTTCGGCCTCCCCCTCGCCCTCGGATACTTGGACCTTGGCAGGGCGGTCGTTGCCATCGTTCTCGTCGCCACGTCTTCTCTTCTTCTCTTTGTTGTCGAGACGTTTCGCCGCGGGATGCCCCTTGCGGTTGGCAATGACCTCTTCGCCGTATGCTTTGATAGCAAGGACAGAGAGATCGCGGTTAAATTGCTGGATGGGGTTGTAGAAGACCTGCTGGGCGTTCTTGTCCTTGTTCTCCTTCATGCCTCCAGGCACGAGTATTTTCGCCATGCCCTCCTGGATGACATCGTACTCCTTGCCGTCATACGTGACCGAATCCCCGCCACTACCGGCCATCTGCGCGCCTCCGCGGTCTGCAGACGCCATGGTGATGCCCCTGGCCAATCTGAGCTTGGTGGGGTGATGGACGTTGTCGTTGATGAGATGACTCCTACGTGAGATGCAACTGAAGGATGGCAAGAGCGCTAGAGGCGAGGCAGCGCGCGCGAGCTTCAAGCGGTTTGAGCTTCGATGGAAAGAACGACACAGGGTTAGAAGAGACATGCAGTGAGAAAGGGGATGGGCCGCTAGTGAGGGTTTTCGACGCTCTTTGGGTTGGCTCGACCTGGAAATCTCAAGGGCAGATGAAGCCGTCGATGAAATTTCAGTGGGGCGTTGTTCTGCCGTGCGCCCATCAGGAAGGCGGTCTCAGGCACGCTCCCACTCGATATTGCCCACCACGAGAGCATCACGACTTCCACAATGTGCGATACTTCCTCTTTTTAGTATCGAGAATGTTTCCAAATGACTCTTTTATAGATTTCAAGGATTTGAGAGCATTAGAGTTCCAGCTCTCTTATCTTTTCTTCTTCAATAGTCACTAATCCGTTTTTTACAAAGGCGCTCAAAGCGTGTGCTGAATTGCGGGCTGAAATATACTGATGTCTGTGTTCCGCCCTCAGCTGATGCTTTGTACAACTGTACATACAAGATCAAAGGATGCCCGGACTGCATTCCACACCCCCTGACCGATCCCGCCCCCCTTCTCCTGGGCCTCCGGCGTCGCCCAGTCACCTGCACCAGTCAAGCGCTTGATGGGTTTATTCAACTCGAGCTGACTGAAAAATCGCGCCGGCGGTGGAGGGGAGGTCTTCATATGAGGGACAGGCATAGCGCTGCGGCCGCGAAGCTGCCGAGAAACGTGCACCTGGCGGAGATGCCAGCTGAAATTGAACAAGGTCAATACATCGTCCTGGTATGTTCGTCAGCTGGACATGTCCATCCCTGCAGAGCCATCCGGCGGCCGACCTACGTATGTCATGACTGGATTGAGATAGAGGTAATGCTGCCACGCGACTTTGTACTTGAGGCCGTGGTACTCTAAGGCCTCCAAGCTGACCCAGTCGGTGCTGATGAGAAGATATTGTCTGTCTTGGCCATGAAGACCATCCAAGCAGCATTCAATGCTGCAAGGACGCAGGTATTCCGGTGAAAACTGCTCAACATACACACGCTCCGGTCCTGCATACCAAGTTTGTCCTAATTCTGTGGAATGACATTAGACAACGTGATACAAGGTGGGCAGGTACGGCGATCGTCTTCCAAACCTGCAAGAGTACCAGGGAAAGATAGCCACTCACCGTTGCCCCTGACGTAAATGGGGACAAGATGTGGTCGAACCGGGGATACTACGCCTCGCCATGCTGTCGAGACTGGCACGGGGCTCTCGTGTTCAGGTCCTGGTGCATCCATGACCGGTGGCAGCTGCGGCTCGAAGGTCGACATGGACTCCTCAGAGTCACTGGTGTTTGGATTTCCATTCGCTTCTTCTATCTGAGCGGTGAGTCGGCTGGCTGCTCGCGCCCTGGTAGTCGGCTTTTGAGACGTGGGTGGCGGCATGGGTCTTCTTAGTGACAGAGTCTTGATTTCCCTTCCGTCTTGCTGTCCTGTGCTTGCCTCTTTGGGGTGAATATCAAAACCGTGTGCAGTATCTGGAGTCGATGACGGGCCATCATTGTCTGTAGTTGAATTGCTCGGTAACGGTCCCTGTACTGGTCCCTTCACCATCATTTCTGTAAGTTGGTGGGGCTCTTCAACATTGGACTTTTTCGCGGGTACGGAAATACTGTCTAGTTCTCTCAGCCGTGAGTCTACAGACTCGACTTCGAATAATTCAACTTGGTCGATTGTCCCCCTTTGGCCGGCTTGTCCAAATTCGCCTGCGTCATCGTCTGCAACGTCGCCGGAGTCGTATCCTTGATCGGGGGCGAGATCATCTGAGCTATTTTCTTGATCAGATGATACAGTTACAGGCTTGTACCTCGATGGCAAATTTCTCGCGTGCATACTGCTCGGTCGTGCTTTTTCAAAGGCTTCGTTACTTGGTAGATCCAACGGTTTTGTATCGCCTGTTGAGAGCTTCCGCTGCGACGGGAACCGGTTGGAGCCCTGACTTGCACTCTTACTTTTGGAAACAAAAGTAACGTGGGGTATAGGAGCCGTTGTATTCTGTTCAGCCTTCAATTCATTGTGACTCCTCGCCCTTCGCGGTGTTAGCCTGGCAGATGTACGTTTCTGGCGATGTGATCTGGTCCCCGGACCCCTGTTCGGCACGGATCTCTCGGGCTCCTTATACGCCCATATTCTTCTCTCTGTCTCACCCTCCGATGAAACTAGGCCCGGGGTCCTCTGCCCTCTCCTGAACAGTGGTACCGAGCCTGGTTCATCAATATGGTCCGGTTGAACGTGGCCGAGCGGGTGGCTGGCTGACCTGTTTCCGCGATCCCACGGAGTCTCATGATAGTTCACAGCATTGGCTGGCCAACTTCCGGGACTATGCCATGGATGAGAATCATAGTGATGTGGAACAGTTGAAGAAGAAGGCTGATGCGGGCCTGGGTTGGCAAACATTGATGGGGCCTGAGAATGTCGCGCGTTGTCGACGTCTGTAAAGTAATCTTGAGCTGGTCGTGACCCATATATCCGATCGTTATAGGGACTCGAACCGTGCTGTGGTATCGAGTCAAATTCTCTTGCGTCGGGACGCCATAGATCCCTCATATACAACGGGTGCCTTTCGCGCACTGGATTGTGTGGTGCTTCGTCATAAAGACTGGCGAAGCTGTGATGGTGCTGGGGCGGTGGGTTGGCATAAGCGTATTCACTAGGCTCCGGGGCCTGAGCTGGTCTGTAAGGGAAGATTCTCCGTCCCTCTGCCGGCCGTGGCGATGAACTCGTATTACTGTAGAATGAAGCCAGGTCGTCAGGTAAAGGTGGCCGTGCTCCCGCGGGAACGGAACGACTCGCAGCGATCGGCCCATTGGGTCTCGATTGTTGGTTGCGAAAACCGCCAGTGGATGTTCTTGGCTCGCCCGCTGCGAACTCCGGACGCACCTCCGAGGCCCAAGGCTGGCGATTCAAGTACTGATTCACGTACTCATTAGATGAGCTTGCGAATTTTGAATCTTCGTCGCCACCTCGAACCTCATTGACATGAGATTCGGGATGTAAATGATTGTTACCGTCTATCTCATCAGAAAACTCCTTGATGTCGAATGTCGTCCAGTCTTCTATCAAGCGATTCGCCAACGCTTTGAGTCCCAAGCTCATAAAAGGTGTGTTCATGACGTGCCAGTCCGGGTTAGACGTAGCCCGGATAACCATGCTAGTCCCAGCAACCATATCCACTTCGAACTCATTCAGTGGCCTTTTATCTTTCGTGACAAGCACAGTAGACTAGGTAAAGAAGGACGAGGTCAGCTGCTGATGCACCGGGCTTACTGACTGTACACAGAGATGATGAAGAACTACGCATGGCCAATACTCACATTATCAGCAGAAGTCTGCCAATCGAGATTGAGCTCTTCGAGGGCCCTTTTGTCAATATCTTGGGCCGAGAATCTGGTTGCCGTTACTTCCAGACCCTCCATCGGCTTCGGTCGAAGCCCTGGCTTGTTGTAAATCTCGACAGCTCGCTCATTTTGTCTGGCAATCTGCCCAATCTCATTACTCGGCAACCGGCGATCGAGGGGTATGTTTGGCGCTGACAGCATCAGTGACATCCATGTGGCCATCGCCTGGGGTCTTTCATCGTGGGCAATCTGCTGTTGCTGGGCCGCCTCTATCTGCGGCTGAACCGGAGTGTCCATGAGCTGCGAGACGGCTCTTCGGGACCTTTCAATAGTGATCATGGCTTCTAGACGGAGAGTTCCGAGAGAAGCGCGCGAGTATGATGCTCTGAAAAGGTTTCAGTCTCCATTAGGACACTAATGTTGTGCCATCCAATAACGCATGGGCTTACTGATGATTCTCGGCCAGTTGAGCAATTGACAGCGTCAGGCTCATCGTCTGCTTGACTCCTTCTAGCTTCTTCATCAGACCCGTGATTCTTTGGTTCATGAAAAGAACCTTGAATCGATAAAGGAGGGACTTATGCCCTGGCTGTGGGCATTTGGCAATGACATCTTGGATTTGCTTGAAGCGCCAACGCAAATCTTTTATAACATTAAGCAGCTGGGCTTTGTAAAGACTTTTATGCAGGTCGATGAGTTCGCAGACGCTTTGCAGCATTGTTGATGTCAAATGAATGTCTAAGGCGAAGGCATGCATCTCCTTCGGAGCCTCTTTGAACGAATCAACGATGTGGTACAGGCTCGAAGATATGGCGAAGCCAGCCGTGACAACCCCTATCACGCTAGCTGTGATCGAAAGCGGATCTGCCATGTGCTTTTGTTTGTCGCAGAGCCGTTCGAGGCTCTGTTGACAGATCAAGTGAGGTGAATGACGAGAAACGACATTGACAAGGCTAGGATTAACGAGCTGGACGACAGCTTTTTTATGAAACTTCTATGGAGGCTGAGCCGAAGTCAGCAGGGAACGGTGCATCATGCCGTGCAACCAACCACCTGCATGCCGTCGGCCACTAAAAGGTCTTCAGTAGCCAACTTGGCCAAGGCAATGGCCAATCACCCGCAGATGTTTAAACATGTTGGTTGAGCGCTGAAGACACAGCCACTCCCCTTGAGGTACCTAGGTAGGTAGGCTACCACATGTTATTGCAGCACGACGAGACCGCTCGCTGCAACTTCTTTGCTGCCTCTTTCGACCGTCCCAGTCGCTTTGGATATATTTGGGCTCTTTCAAGATTCGATGCCCCGTTAGACCGCTATTGATTACCAGTAGTTGGCTTGGTCCGCCGAAGAATTCTGGCATTCTCTCAAAGTGGCCTCCAATGCTACGTTTGGCCAGAAGACGTGTAATCTTTCCTTGCCAACACCAAGAAGTGTGCGACATTAGCGCCTCATCATGGCCTGATCACTTTCGCTAATCTTCTTCCTGGCCTCTTCCTAGAATCGTCCCATGATTTTCATCAGAGCGTGGATTTAGCAGTGTGAACAGGTCTTCCGGACTAGGTCCGCAGCCAACAGATGATAGGTTCGGGGGTAAAACACATCTGAATTCTGGCCCTCCGCCGCTAGAAGGGCTCTCCGCAACTCTTGTGTATGCGTCCTCGTAGTCCTTGGCCCCTAATCAGCCCCCTGTTCCATCTCCGAAGGGGCCTCCTGATAATTCTGCTGTTCAGATCCTCGTAGCGTTCTTGACTTGGGAGCAAAAAGTTTATTTGCATGCACAGGATGGATACACCTGAATCCAACACTTGCTTTCCGGGAAAGCTTCCTGCGCTATCTGCCTACGAGGAAGAGTTTTGGACTTTTTGAGTGGTTTGTACTCTTTACCTAATGATTTGCCTCTGTAACAAGGAAAACCTTCACGCCCGCCCTTCCTCCTCTCCGGCACATATCACGGCGTTCAGATCAGTAAGCAAGTGATGATGATGTCGAGAGTAGAAAGGAGCCGACTAGTCCCTTTTTGTTGATAGTCTGTTCAACCACATGGGAGCTTTTCGACACCGAAGTACGCATTACGGCCAAATTGGGATCGGAAGTCAACCACGCAACCTGACAAGGCACCTGTATCACTCGATGTTACACTGAAGCATCCAGTCAATTACCATCAAAACCTACTTCGCTGGGCTGTCCCTCATTTCCAATCACAACTCATATGGCTGGGTTAGAAGAGTCGTGTCACGTGTGCACAAACATCGGACTGCCCTACCGCAGCGTCTTGTGATGTAGAAGGCTCACCCCGAGAAGGCGGGAGCCTGCCTGCCTCGAGAGAAACCTGATAAGGAGGAGGAAGGAACGAGTGAATGCTTGACTTGACTGCAATTGCAAGCATAAGATTTTCCAAAGACCAACATCCACCTTGATTCCGTATTTCTCCTTGATCTTCATCGGTGTGGGCTCTGCGAAAAACACCCAAAACGCGAGAGCCATTCGTCCACGCCTATCCACCACCTTTTGCGCCTCGGGACCACCAGCCATTGCCCTTCATGTCCGACAACGCACCTCTGCCACCACCAGATCCTCTGCCCAACCCTTCAAGCAGCACCCCCAGCCTGCTCAGCAAGCCACCACGCAAACACGTTCGTTACCGCTTCCTGACCCCTTCCGAGCGAGCCATCTTCGCCCGAGCCGTCGGGGCAGATATGGACTCCGAGGACCAGACGCCCCTCTATCCTCCAACGTCGATATCCTGGTTCAAACCCCGCCGCAGACTGCAGAGCGGCCTCTACAGGGACGTCGGTGCCTTGCGCCGCAAGTATCTGTTCTACTTCCACGCCGTCGCCTTCCTCCGCTGGGCCGGCATGATGATGCAGCTCTTCGTCGGCGCTGCCCTCACCGGCGTCGGCGCCATGGCTTTCCAGAATGGCATCCCCATCACCATCTTGGCCGGCGTCAACACGGTCATCGCCGGCATGCTCGCCATGATTCATAACTCTGGCTTGCCTGACCGCTACCGTATCAACCAGGCCGAGTTTGAGGGCGTCGAGGATCTGATCAAGGCCGTGCTCAACACGGGCATTGTCGAAGATACCCAGACCGTCGACCAGGCCATCATGGAGTGCTTCGAGACCTATCGTTATACGAGGGCCGTCGTGGCTGCCAACGACCCCTCCTTCTACACGTCCATGGCTATGCGGAGAGCTGGCAACACGGAGGCTGCCCGCGATAGCATGGTTGTGACCCGCCCACATCCTCGTGCGTCATCCTGATCAGCTGCAAGGCAAATCCTCAACCGTACTTTATCCTATGAGATCGAAATTGGTGGTTCTGCCCATAGCAGCATCTTGTATGGTCATCTTCTCGTAATGGGTGAGCTGGGTGACAACCGGGTACAAGCTCATGTCAACATGTCTGCAGGAGTTGAGGAACATGGCGCTATTTTTCATTCCACGATAATGATGGGAATGGGGATCATTCTCGTCCCCAGGTCGTGATATCAATGTAATTGTCTAAGCAAATTTACATGTTCAACATGACCATGGCAGATCGAGACAAACTCATCCGACAACGGCTATTAAGCACGTATCTGTCAACAAAATTATAGCAAACTCTATAGCATTCAAGGAAATCTCTTATTTCGGCAGGAATATGGGCTGTGCTCCCAGATTTTCCCACTTGGGTTATGTGACTCGGGGGCAGGGGACTCAGTTCATTTACCAACTATGGCTACACGCGTCCCCCCTCCGAGGTAGGACCTGATAGAAAAGCCTTTCTTTCATCTTATTGTTGCGACTGTCTATGCAAGACCGGCGTTATAGGTCGTCTTCGGGCATCTCTGCGTCCAGCGGGTGCAACCCAAAGACCCAAAGCATAAGGAACGGCAGATCTTCGAGGTAAATCTTGGCTGAATCTGAACACACAGATCCTTCGTCTCATTATTCCATATTATGGTTCCTGAGTTAATTTTCGGAGAACAGCGCCGGCTCATGTCATTGTAGATCTCAACGCCGTCGATCCGTCAGCAGCACTGACGCGACCGGCCAATCTGGCGAGATGCTCGTATCGGCACCGAGGGCCGAACCGACGTATCCGCACACTGCTGCGCAGCCCAACAGGACAGGGAGGATTCGATTCGGTCCTGAAACAGCGCACCCCAGTCATCGAAACGACATCAAAACATCCGCTCGCCGTTCCGTGCTTCACCGAGGCAGCCCCACGAATGCACCAGAAGGAGGTGAGGAGTACAGGTGCCGCCGCGGCGCAGAAGCAAAAGCCGCCCCGGCACCACGCCACTCTTCTGCCTCTGCTTTGCTCTGCTTTGCATTTCCCTCCGACGCAATGCAATCGTGCGTGAGTGGGATTATAAAGAGCCTCACGACGTTCCAGACCGGTCTCCGCAAGATGGACGGAAGAAGAGGAGGAGGACGAGAAAAGGCGGGGGACTTCGTCATTGAACTCCGGCTAAGGCAACCGAATCCCGCCCCCTGTTCCCCCATGTTGGGAATCATCCCCAGCGTTGGGGGATTTCCCAAGGAGGCTCCCGCTCCGTGAGGCTCAGATTGAGACGAACCTGCAGAGCAGATAGTGATGCCGCCCAGTTCGGGGAAGCATAGCCTGCGTCTCCGCGCTGCAGGTCCTCGACCACCCCCCTTCCCCCCTCACCCTCGTATCTCGTCTCCCCAGGGCAGGGGTAAGCGAACGCCATCTGAGTTTGGTGGGAAGTTGGACGAGGCCACCATTGTCAGGAGGCTGCGCCGCCGTCCTGATACAAGGAGTCAGTCCTCCTCCTCCCCCCC